CCTCTTTCATTCTCAAATCTTTCAAAAATGCAATAATAATTAATTACATGAATCAGATTCTGATTTCCTCATTAGAAAAGGCATCTGTACAGCAATAACTGTAAAAATCAAGAAATACATGTAAAATTCATTGATTTGCTGTATTATTATTATCATTCAATCATTTCTTCTTCTCAATTTCCTGAATGTCAATCCTTTTGACAAATTCTTCAAATGCAGGCTTTGCCAGTGACTTGATGAGCCTGTCAGCTATGTTTGCTGTAGAATCAACATGTTTCATCATGATTTTCTCTTTTTCAATCAAATCACAGAGAATATGATATCTAATCTCAATGTGGCATGACCTTCATGTTAAGGATTTCTCCTTTGCTAGATCAATTGCTCCCTTATTATCAACTTATAGATGTGAGCATATTTTTGCTTTTTTATCATTCATCAACTCAGTGTCATATAACATATCATTCAATCAGATTATCTCACAAGCTGTCTCACTAGCTGCAATATATTCAGCTTCTGTGATTAATTTGACAATAGATGTCTGTCTCTATGACTGCCATGAGATCAGTGACTCATTAATTAATATAACATAGTCAGTAGTTGATTTGTATTGAAGATTTACCCCTGCTCAGTCTGAATTGCAGTATGCTACAGAACTCAGACTTATATCACTGATCTTCTTTCTGTATAATATGTCATGATTTTTCATCTTCTTAATATAACATAGAACATGCTTCAATGCTACTTAACATGCTTTGTGTGAATGTGAGTTAAAATGTGAGAGATAGTTGACTGTGAATACCAGATCTGATCAGCTGCTTGAGATTAAATACTGCAATGATTTCAATCCTTGATGATATCTTGTAGCTGTAAAGTTGTCATTCAATTCATCATCCTCATCAGGTGAAAACTTCAGTTATATGCCTGTCATCATTGAGGTCCCCGCAGGATTCATCTTATTCATGCTGAAATCTTCAAGAATCTTCTCAATATAATGACTCTGTGTAACTGCTAGATTATCATTTCTCTGGCATTTGATCTTCATTTCAAGATATGACTTGGTCTCTTTGACATTCTTTATCTCAAATCTCTTTATGATCTTTCTCAATACTCAGTCTAATTACTGTTCTTGAGATCTCATCACCTGACAATCATCAACATGCAGTGTCAGATAGATCTTGTGAATAGAGTGATATAGAAATTCACTGTTATAAGATGATATCTTGAATCTCAATGTAGTCAGATACTCTGTTATGAGGAAATATTATATTCTTACAGCTTGCTTCATTTTATATAGACTCTGACAGAGTAATCTCATCAAGTTCTCTCTGCTGTACTTAACATCTGTGAGTAGTTGCATATAGATTATCTCATTCTGTGATAGTATGTTATTCAAAAACACAGATATATAGTCAATCAATTTGATCTTTCATTCTTTGATAGTTGATATAGTGAATAGACTGTGTGATGTAGGCCCTGATATCACTGCAGCATATAATCTCATATAATGAATACTCTGCTGTTGCAAGAACTCTCTAATCACTCAGTGAGCTCTAAAATGAATGATTTCTTTCTTATTATTGAATTTTCAATCATATACTCATTTATCTGTAAGAATATTCATTTCCAGAGTCTTCTTAATAATAATATATATCTTCTTCTATTCAAATATCTTAATCTCCTTTTTCATTATCTTATATTAATAGTCTCAGTCTGAGCTTCTCTTGACTTCTGTCAGTGTAGTTGATCAGTCTGTCAGAATACTTAGAATAGAATCATTCTTATTAATGAGATCTTTGAACTCTTCAATCATGATAAGCTATATCTTATCATCTAGAAGGTAGATTGAATCAATTACATTCTCTAAGTTCTTATTGATAATCATCTTCAAAATATCTGACTTTTTCTTCACTAGGTGTTATAGTAAGCAGTGCTGTTATTCCTCTCTGACATTCAGAATGTTTAATTCATTAGACAATTCATTGAATTCTCTTATTATATTTACAGATGTATTTGCATTCATGTCAAGAGCTTCATCAAATATGATATCTCATGCAATCTCAAGATAACATGCAACAGAATCTCACATGTGATATTAATGTAATTCTTGATATTCAATCAGCTGTCATTTCTTGCTGTCAGTTCTATTCACAAGCTTATTCAACACTTTCAAATCCTTCTTATAGACCTTGCACCCTCATCTTCATATTCAATGAACAGAAGATTACACCTCAGTTCAAGCTTTAAAAGATGTAAGTGATGTTTCTTTCTTACATTCAAATATCTTTATTGATATTGAGAATGTGTTGATTATTATAATCATGACTTGTATTACTTCATTTCAAAGTTCTCTTTCTAATTCACTATTAAATAGTAGACTTTGTATCTTTTCTGTAACTATTCAATTTGTATGTTTCACTGAGTCATTTAATTGTGATGTATTAGATATAGTCATTTTATATGCTATTTCTTTACTCTGACAGTAGATCTTAAGTTCTTGACTTTTGAACTCTTCTTCATTATCTCAGTGTAGAGTTTCAACTTGATATTGTATAGTTATCTCAATATCTGTGATGAAATTTATTAATCTTATAGTAGATTCTTTCTTTCTCATCATAAGAATTGCTCATCTATAACAGATTGTATCATCTATTATACTTAATTAGTAGCTTACACTCTCTCTAGTGAGAGTGTCATTCTCATTAAAAAGTGTTTTTCCATTCTCTGTCAGATTGATAAAGAATCTCATTATCAGCTTGACAGCTTATGTTATAGATGTGAAGATTGAATATGTTATTTTTATCTGAACACAGACTTTACAGAATAATAAAGCTTATTAATTAATAATTCTCATTTCTAGATGTGAATCTGCTGTTATTTTTACAATATTCACAGAATTTAGATGTTCTAGCTTTTAATATTATTGCATCATTGTAAGTTCTATAATCTTTGTATCATTTCTTTCAGATAGTGTCAATATTGTATCATCTTTCATCTGTAATGTGTTCACAGATTCAAAATTATCATTGAGTATAGTAAATCAGATCAAGTCTCTGTATATAACTGGTCTTTTCATCTCATAGATATCATTCTCATTTAATCTTACTGTAAATGAGAACATGTGATCAGAAGACATAATCAATATAGTATGATTATTCTTATATATCAACTGCTTATAGATATAACTCTGATGTATAAGCTTACTCATACTCATGAGATTCACTTCTAACTTCAGAACATAGTGAATATTATTTAACAGTATATTTATCTCTTTCACTGAAATCTTTATATCTTCTATAGCTGTAGTGAGAACTATCATTCTGTCTGTCATTTTCAATATCCCTTTCATCTTCTGAGGTTTTGCTATGATAAGATCTCTGTGAGATGTGACATGAGCATCTGATTCAGAGTCTAGAATTCAGATATCTTTTTCTGTCTGATTACTCATATAGATCTTTTCTTTGATATAAAATACTTACTTTATAACATTATAAATAGAAGTAGCATCTGTATTCTCTGCATTCTTGTCTTTATTCTTATTTTTATTGATATTGAAATTTGAATTTGAAGAATGTTTCTCAGAATATTTCTTTCAACAGTCAGTCTGAATATAATCAATCTTTTGATAATGATAGCAGATTCTCATATTATTATCTCTATATTCAGATTTGAATTCAGTGTTCTTATTCTTGTTATTGTCTTTCTCTTTATTCTTATCTTTCTTATTCTTATCTTACACATTGTTTGTGGTTCGGAAGAACGTACGGTGGTTCGGAAGAACGTACGACCGTCGGATAATAACGCGGCCGCTTCTGAACTTGCTTACAAGTGTAAAGAGGCCATAGCGGCCACTAATTAATTTAGTGTACAATATTATGATATATAAGAAGCCGGCGTACGCCTGTAATCATACACTGGCAAGCAATCTTTGAATCACATCTGATAGCATGTCTAAAAACCAGTGAGAAGTGCAGACTCTCTCAGAGTGTGATAATTTCATCTATGAAGTGATTTGTAGTTATTATGCCAGTGTGGTTCTAAAATGCCTCAAAAGATAGTGTATGAAGAGCAGTGAGTGAAAGAGCATCTGATTGATACTGCTTTGCTTGTTGAGAGAAAACTCCACACTCAGGCAAATGTCATGTACACAAATAGATGAGATGTGAGAAAGAGAATGAGAGTAGTGAATGAGATTCAAAGAAGTCTGCTCTCTACTCAAAAGAAGAATAAAAAGAAGAAGATAATCATCACCAGAGTCATATAATGATAACAGAAATCATATAATGATATAGTGATATAATGATATAGTGATATAATAATACAGTAATATAACAATAGACATTGTATAATTAATGAGAAATTACTGAAATGAATATCTTCTCTAGCTGATATGAACAACACTCTTCTCTGTTATCTGAACTGAAAGATATACAGAACCTCTCAGAGAGTTTACTCAAAGCAGTAAGAAAAGCGGCTGAAACTGCTGAACTGAAATCAAAGCTCTGTATACATACAAGAATTTTAAATGAGATCAAGATCTTATGTATACAGTGATAGACTGAGATGAAAGTTAAATAATAATTAGCATTCACTGTAGATCAAGTATTCACTATAAAGAGCTTCACTGATACAATCATTATTATTAATAAGAATAGAGAAAATCAGATCTTAGACCTGTAGCAGAAGATTGAACATTTACACAGACAGATAACTATACTGAATCTGAAGATCTTATCATGATTATTTATAATCTCTTCAGAAGTGTATACATCATTAAAGATCACTGCACAGAATGAGAATCTGAGTATAAAATATATCAAGTCAGAAGATCTGCTGAAGTTACTAAGCTTTAATAGTGACTGAAAAAATGATGCTGTAATCAGCTAACTAAGTCAGATGTAATTATATTATTAAATTGAATGTGAACTCACAGACAGATAGTTAACAGAATTTTAACAAGTCTTAAGATCTGCTGCATTTCTACACAGAAAAAGCACAACTATCTATCCAACCGCTCCACCACGAACTCGCTCGATTTTTCGAATAAGAACCCGCCGATAGATCCATCGAAAAGCCCTCGATCATACGAGCATTTTGACCCCATCGCCGACCGCATACCCCGTGTGGTGGTGGAGTTATCCAGCCAAACGTGAACCAGATGTCGTTCGGAACTCCTGCGTGGGATTATCCCCCATTCTCCCCTACCACACCACAACCCCGGGCCAAATTGCCATACAAATTGTAAGGTGAAGAGACCTAGCCGTATGCACCAATCTTCTCGATTTTGGAAGATCCCCGATCTGTAGTTGTGGAGATATCTGAGGTGCGACCTCCGCGAAAACCCTGTCCATCTTTGATGTTCCAAAACACCAACGCCAAGTCCCACCCTCATACCGCCCTTCCCAATCTGGCTCATCCCCAGCAGAAAAATACAAAAAGATACCTCGGCAATAATATCAAGCACATAATCAACAGACAATGAGTCAACAGCACATCAACAACTATAAAATCAGTATACCCCAAGGTCTGACTGAGCCTTTGATCCCTGCACAGTGAGATATATTAAATCTAGTTTTAATATCTCAATATTCAATAGATTCTGCAAGAGATTGAGAACAGCAACACTAGGTTTCTATTGAATTTGAGAATTAACTCTATATTGATATAATCATTGACAAAGTCTTCTATTTTGAGATATAAATAACCAGTTCCTCTACATCCTGCTGACAATATTTATATTATTATATAGAAACAGACTTATATTCTCTATAATATCAAGACCCTGAAGAGGGAAAGTCTTAATAGAGAGTATACAGTAGTGCATATTTTAGTAGTTTCTATCTCATTCTTCTGCAGCAGTTAATGCAAAAAAAAAAAGATCTTAGAAATAGTTTTTTACTTCTCTTGAAAAAGTAAGGTGTTTTTCTCTGGGTTTTACACAATATTCTTACAAAGAATTAAAAACAGAGTTGTTTTCTGTCATAATTTCATATTCTTTTAAGTAAGAATTACTTTTTCAGTGGCTGAAGAGCTTTCATTAATACTTAATTCTTTTTTACACTCTTTATTAACTGATTTGAGTTGCACACTTGTTGTGTGAGAAGAATTGAATGATTTAGAATAAAATTGAATAGTTTTAATCAATTTCTCTGCAAAAAATTGATTTATTTTTTGTCAGTTTTTCTCTCAAAAACTGTCATATCATCTGATTTACTATCAATTGATATCATACTTTTCCTCACTGTATCCCAAGAAAGAGATTGTAAAGATTTTATTAATTTATCTTAAAAATCAATTTTAGTTTATTAGATTCTCTTTAAAAATCTAATCTAGTTACTGAACTAGAGTGAAAAAAATCAGGTGTTTTATACATAAAAGTCTGCTATTCTTCTTTTGAAATAGTCTGATCAACTTTTCAATTGAAAACAGACTTAGAAACCTCTTAATTGAAACAGTCTGACCAACTTTTCAATTCAAAAGAGTTTAATAAATATCTCAATTGAATTAGTCTGACCAACTTTTCATTGAGTAAGAACAATGAGTTCAAAAGTACACTCAGTTGATGTGGAAAAAGATGCTTTCTTAAATACTATTTCTGAGATTGAAATTCTGAAGAGAAGAAAGAAAGAAGAAATAGAGAAACAACAAGCTCTTAAAATACAGAAACTTGAAAAAGCAAGTAAAATTCTTGAAAAGCAGTGTCTGAGTGAGATGAATGAAGAAGTTCTGTTAATTCTTCATACTCAGACTAGACAACTACAGAAAGTGATCAAGTTCAAACTTGGAATTTCAAACACAGTTCAAAAAACTTTGAAAATTTCTAATACAATCACTGACTCTTCAGTTTACTCTTCTTTCTTTTCTACTTCTTCTTCTTCTTCTTCTTTAAATCAGAAGAAAATATATGCTCAAGCAGCTGAATCTGCTGTCTCTAAACCTGCTGTCTCTAAATCTGCTATCTCAAAACCTGCTCAAAATTCTGAGAAAACTGAGAAGAATACTGCTCATACTTCTAGTGATAGAAGAGTGAAGAAAAAAATGCAAAAAGAGAAAAATCTTCAAATCTTCAGAAATAGAAGACTTATTCTCAAAGTCTCAAATCAGAACATATTGCAGAGAAATAAGCTAAACTCAAACCTCATTTTCAGAATTAGAAATGAAATTAATCAGCAGTTCTTTTCTCAGTTAATGACTGATATTGAAGTTCAAAAACCAGTTATAGCTTCAATTGAGTCATCCTTCTTTGAAAACTTCATTATTCTGACTACAATGCCTGAATTTGATGCTGAATTCCTTAATCAGAATGAGAATCTCTGGAAATCAGCAGTAGAATCTTTGTTAAACACAACAATTCTATCTGAGAGAGATGAAAAGTGAGACAAATTCATTCTTCATGATATTCCAGTTGAAATTTTTGACTGTGAAGAAGAAATGCTACTTCTCAAAAATAAATTAGAAGAATACAACTCTATTCAACTGAGAAAGAAGCCTGTATGACTAAATTCAATTGAGTTCAGACAAAGCAGAAGAAATGCCTCTGTTCTAGTATATACAAAGACAATAGAACAGTCAAAGATCTCTGAAGTAAGAGTAGCAGGTTTGAAAATGAGAGTTCATGAATATAAAGACTCAAGAATGAATCTCAAAGCTCAAACACAGTGTTCAAACTGTCAAAGATATGAACACTTTGCAATCTTCTGTTTCAGAGACTCAAAATGTGCATTCTGTGTCAGAGATCACAAAACTAGTGAGCATAAATGTGAAACATGCTCAAAAAGAGATGAAATATGTCAACACACTCTGCTTAAATGCTCTAATTGCAAAGAAAAACATGCATCTAGCTCAAAAGAATGTATGTTTGCTCCAAGAACTCAAAAGAACTGGAGAAAAGATGAAGCTCAGAGTAAACCTAGAACTGAAGAGAATAGTCAAGTCAGTAAACTCACAACTGTAAGCTCAAAAAGAAGAAACTCTCAACTATCTAAGTCTTCAAACTTCAATTCTCCAGCTAAATGTAAACAGAATTTGAATCCTCAAACTCCTGTTAAGATTAGAGAATTGAGAAATGACTCTGATGATAAACTAGATATAATGCAAGCAGTTCAGATTTCTACTTTTCAGAACAGTTATAATCTACTATCTGATGATAGTAATTAGATTCTACTCTACTCTCTTTTAGTATGAATATACAACAAAAACAACAAAAAAAGTTTAAAAACTCTTCAAAAATCACATTTATTCAAAATAATGTGAATAGAAACTCAAATTGCATTTATTCTTGTCTTCAAATTACATTTGAATAAAAAGTTGATTTTATACTGCTTCAGGAGCTGAATTTTGATGCTGAGCAAAAATATGTCATTTCTCATTCAAGCTACTACTGCTTTTTATCTCAAAAGTCTGAGATAAAGTCAAGAGTAGTGATCTATAGAAGAAAGAGATCAAGATATCAATTTAATCTAAGATTTAATATCATGTCTGACTCTGATATTCTGATGAGTGACATTATAGATAAAGAAAATGAGTTTGATACTATACAGCTCATAAATATCTATAATGAAAAGTCATTGAAGGAATATAACAATATCTGGACAATTGATAGAGAATTTCTGAACATAACTTTATCAAGAAACTCTATAATTGCAGGAGACTTCAATGCACATCATCCCTGATGAAATTCAGAATGCAAGAGAGCAGTGAGAGCTGATAATCTGATTGAATGAATCTTTGAGCATTCAATAGATTTGGTTAATAAGTCTGATCAACAAACATTCTTTAGAAAAGGCATGAAACAGAAGTCTATTATAGATCTAATCTTCATGTCACAAAATCTAATGAAAAGAAGACTTGTAAACTGATTTATTAATTCAAATGAGACATCAGAATCAGATCATGAGATTATTCAATTTAATATTGAACTGAGTGAAAAATAAATGAGTGAAAATCCTCTTCTCTCTAATCAGTATAACTTTGAAAAAGCTGATTGAAAAGCAGTTGAAGAAAGCATAAAACTGTTAAAATCTGAAAGACAGAATGAGCTATATTGAAATTCTGATCAAGATATCTCAAATGAAATGCTTGAGAATAGAGTGAAGCTTATTACATCTATTATTCTAACATGTGTTAGAGATAATATTTCAAAGAGAAAATCTTCTGAGTATTCAAAATCTTGATGAAATGAGAATATCTCATCTAAAAGGAAAGAATTAGCTACTGCTAGAAGAGATTGGAAGAATGATGTAATATCTGATGAAGAGTTCAAAGCTGTCAGAAATGAATATTTTTCAGATATTAAAAGAGCTAAAACAGACTGCTGGAATAAATTTCTTGAAGAAGCATAAGAGAAGGAAGTTTTTAAAGCTTTTAACTATACTAAAACAAGAAGTGTAGCAAAACTTCCAGCCTTAGAATATGAGTTTCAGAATGAATCATATACAGCACACTCTTTTGAGGAAAAATGTCAAGCTTTCATGAGAATTCTCTTTCAGAACTCACCAGATTCAGATTCAGATTCAGAGGAAGAGAATATATCACTTCTCAACTACATTAATGAAAATGACTGGGAATGGCCTGATCTTATATAAGATGAATTAGAGTCAGCTATCTTCTCAAGTTCTGTTAAAACTGCTGCAGATCCTGATTCAATTAATCACTTGATTATTCAGAATATATATTCCTACTTAAAGAATGAGTATTTTGAGCTCTTTTTCAATCTCTTGAAAAATGAATATCATTCTGAATGCTGAAGAGAAGTCACTGGAGTGATTCTTGCAAAACCTAATAGAAAAACTTCAATTTCTAAGTCATATAGAGTAATATCTCTATTGAACTGCCTAGGAAAGATTTTAGAAAAGATAATAGCTACTCAACTATCTTTTATAAGCTCTATAGATAATTCTCTTTTATTCAGTGAATAAATGAGAGATAGAAAACAGTGTTCTACAATTGACACTGTTCTCTCAGTTATTCATAATATTCAAATAGCAAAGCATGAGAATCTGGTCTCAACTGCAGTTTTCATTGATATAAAAGAAGTATTTGATCATGTTTTAAAGTCAAAGTTAATTCAGACATTGAAGATATTAAAACTGTCACTTTCTCTAATAAAATGAGTTAACTGTTTTATGTCTAAAAGAAGTATATAACTCTTCTTTGATGGAATGAAATAAGACAAGACTGAGATAAAAATAGAAGTATCACAGAAATCTTCAATCTCACTCATTTTATTTGCAATATACACTGTATATCTATTTAAAAATAGAAATATGAGAATAGTGTGATCTCTGAGTTATATGAATGATATTGATCTAGTCTACAGCTCAA